TGTGGTGTGTGGTATTCTCGTTGTGTGTATCTGTCTCATATGTAAAATATATGTATGTATATATTTTTGCTATAGCTTTGGTTGTTTAAGTAGTTTCTTTTCTCTTCCCTCTCTGAAAAGCGGGTCCTTGTGGTCGAGTTTCAGGGGCTTGGCAGGAAGCCAGCTCGAAACTTGCACACACCCCTAAAAAACACCTCCCGCCCACCCCCAAGAGCCCCCAGGGGCAAAGCCTTGCACAGGGGCCAGCTGTGCCCAAGGCAATCAAACAGCCCCACAAGCAGGGGGACACCAGAGGATGCCCCAGGGCAACGAGAGCAGGGAGCGGATCAGGCCCCCTGACATGTGGGTGGACTATGTGTTCAGCCTGACCAGAGGCAATTTGGCACCAACAGCACGGCCCTGACTGCTGGCTCAGCACAGGGGGCCCGAGCTCCCCCCTCTCCAGGCTCTCGGGGCTCTCGCAGCTCCCCCCTCTCTCCAGCCTTGCCCGCTCTTCAGGCATCAAGGCATGGGCACATGGAGGGACCCCCACGGCAACCCCGCTCCCACTGTCTCCCACTCCCGTTACCCCCCTCTCCCACTCCTTTCCCATCGGCCCTCCAAACCTCAGCTCCCCCCAGCTTCCTTTGGGGGTGACCCACTGCCCCCTGCGCTCTCTTTGGGGGTCCCACCTGCTCTTTTCCCTTCTCTCACCCCTTTCCCATCATGGCCGCTCCGCTCACCTGACAGCGGCAGGAAGGGCAGGGACAGGGCGAAGCAGGAACAGCAACAGCAAGAGAACAATCGCCCCCCCATCCCACGGGTGCCTGGGAACGGGGAATTCATCCCAAATATCCTGGGGGGAGCGTGGGGGGTCGTGACATACTCGGGCTGCCAGCACAGATTTCCCTGCAAAGTCTGCAGTGAGTCAAGCTCTGGAGAGGAGATTGTGCCCCATGGATGGGATTGCAGAGGCTCCCTCAGGTCCCCAGGAGGAATCAGCAACCAGGAATAGACACAAAAGGACCCCCGAAGATTTCTGGGGGAGTGTCCTGTAGGAAGGGGACAGTGTCATCCCAACAGGGCGGGGCTGGCAAGTGGAAGGCTGCTCCAGGGCTCTGCAAGAGGCCTCGTGCTCTGCTCGGCCCCACCACTGGCTGGTACCAACATCCCCGGCTGCCCCCAGCCCTGGGCAGCTCTGCTGCCACAGGCTGTGCCCTCACTGTGGCCCTGCAATGACCCTGCCTGTCCCTCACCTGTGGCCCTGCCCATGGCCCTGTCCCTTGGCTCTCTCTCTGCCAGCTCAGTGTGGGGCACACGGGCTGGGGGTCCCT